CATGGGGCCCCTGTGTCCTTGCCCAAATGCAAAAAAGCCTATGAAAAAGGTACCAGGGGCATCTCATGGGGCCCCCCTACTGACCCCGGGCCCTCGGGCAGTGCCTGAGTTTCCAAATGGTCAGTCCACCCCTGCCTACTACACCTACATCTTGAATTAAAAAGGACCAGAGGTGCCCGATCGGCAGTTGCCCGACTGTGTAAAATATTTTGGTAAGGAAGGATCTTCACAACTGTGGAGGCTCTTTAAATTCTTGCAATTATTAGAAGACCACGGTATAAAAATGTAAATGCTCCACAGCGCAAAAAAAAATTATTAACCACTTGCCGTCCGGCCGCTGTATATAAACGGCCGGGCGATGACAGTCCAGGGGCGGGTTGCCATTCGTAAACAGCACCCACCATTCTGGACTGTGCGCGCTCCCTGGGAGCGCGCAGCACCGCGATCCGTATATATTTATATTTTAAAAATATTTTTCATATATTTTGTAATAAATACGCATTTCAACACACAGTGTGTATGTGTGTATATATATATATATATATATATATATATATATATACATGTATACATACCAGGGGCAGACTGACAACTCATGGGGCCCCCGGGCAATAGGGGATCATGGGGCCCCTGTGTCCTTGCCCAAACTCAACAAAGCCTATGAAAAAGGTACCAGGGGCATCTCATGGGGCCCCCTACTGACCTCGGGCAGTGCCCGAGTTTCCAAATGGTCAGTCCGCCCCTGATACAGTGGCCAAATGGTTAGCACCTCTGCCTGGCAGCACTAGGGTCATTGGTTTGAATCCCAGTCACAGCACCACCTGCCTGGAGTTTACATGTTCTCCCTGTGCCTGCATGGGTTTCCTCCCACACTCCAAAGACATGCTGGTAGGTTAATTGGCTCCTGTCTAAATTGGCCCTAGTATATGAATGTGAGTTAGGGACCTTAGATTGTACACCCCTTGAGGGTTAGGGACTGATGTGAATGTACAATATATATGTAAAGCGCTGTGTAAATTGACGGAATTATATAAGTACCATAAATAATATATATTTATTGAAATATATTGAATACGGCCAAAACTATTGCAATTCAAATATATGGCAATATATTTGAAAGAATATTTAAAAAATATATTTCAAATATATTTTTCTTCCATGTGGGCTGCTCCACTGATGATAACAACTGAGGCCTCAGAGGAACAAGTGTTCCTCTTATCCTCCATCTTCTCTGAATAGCGGCTGCCTATGCAGGGAGGCTGAACTACACCTGCCTACAAGCTGGACTACCCCTTGGGGACCGAAGCACTTTGAAAGGCATGGACCACCACGCTCTATATTACAAGGACAACATGGCTCCAATGAATACATAGACGTATGAATAGATTTTCAACACCATTATGTCTTGTTTTATGTGTCTGTCTCTTGCCCATGTCTCCTTGCCGTCTATGGCCCCTGCATTGGAATCCATGTGCGTTCCTTGCCATTCCTCCCCAGGAAGGAGTTCCTCTTATCCTCCATCTTCTCTGAATGGCTGCTGCCGTAACAGCGCCACCTGTGCAGGGAGGCTGAACTACACCTGCCTACAAGCTGGACTACCCCTTGGGGACCGAAGCACTTTGAAAGGCATGGACCACCACACTCTATATTACAAAGACAACATGGCTCCAATGAATACATAGACATATGAATAGATTTTCAACACCATTACGTCTGGTTTTATGTGTCTGTCTCCTATCTATGTCTCCTCTGCATTGGAATCCATGTGCGTTCCTTTCCATCCCTCCCCAGGAATCTATCCTCCTGGTATGCAGCTTAACCACACATGAAATGACTACACCTTTCTCTTCTCCGTTCTCCATGTAATATTTATGTCAGTGTGTGTTTGCATTTCCCTCTCCGCTGCCTTCTAAATACGATATTAATATTTATTGACCCGTCTCGGAGAATGCACATAGCTGTCTGTCTCTCTGGTGACAAGGTCCTGCTCCCCCGGTTTGGGGTTGGTGTTTTATATTTGCAGATCTGTCAGTGTGTCATTGTCAGTCAATATCTACATGTCTCCCCCACGCCCGAGCCCTTGTCACCGCCATCCTTCTTTACCTATCATGTTGGCGGCTTCTGTCATTGCTTCCATTCTGCAACTGCGCTGCTAGGTGTGGAGTGTTGGGAAATCAAGGGAGATGAAAACGTTCTATAAAAGAGTATTGGAGGCAACTGTACAGCCAAAGTGTGAAAAATGAGGGCACATAAATGAATATGAGGCAATCAGGGGTGGACTGACCATTTGGAAACTCGGGCACTGCCCGAGGGCCCGGGGTCAGTAGGGGGCCCCATGAGATGCCCCTGGTACCTTTTTCATAGGATTTTTTGAGTTTGGGCAAGGACACAGGGGCCCCATGATCCCCTATTGCCCGGGGGCCCCATGAGTTGTCAGTCCGCTCCTGGGAGGCATAAGGGGCTACCCCAACGGTAAGACCAGGGGCGAACTGACAACTCATGGGGCCCCCAGGCAATAGGGTATCATGGGGCCCCTGTGTCCTTGCCCAAACTCAAAAAAGTCTATGAAAAAGGTACCAGGGGCATCTCATGGGGCCCCCTACTGACCCCGGGCCCTCGGGCAGTGCCTGAGTTTCCAAATGGTCAGTCCGCCCCTGGGTAAGACATACCATATTATTTTCTTTTTTAACCCCTCGCCCTCCTGAAAATATACCCGCCTTCCTGACCAGGCCATTTGTTGCGTTACGGCGCTGTCTTACTTTAACTTACAATTGCGCGGTCATGCAACGCTGCACCCAAATGAAATTTTTGTCTTTTTTTTCTCACAAATTGAGCTTTCTTTCAGTGGTATTTGATCGACTGTGCATTTTTAATTTTTTGCGCTATAAAAAAAAAAAATTTTTGATCAGCTTCTCTCCCACACCCCCTTTATATAGACAAAGGTGGGAGGAGGATAGTGGTATCATTTTCACGGATGAGGAATGGGATTCTGTGGTGGATAACATATGTAAGAGTTCGAGATCCCTTTCTGTCCGTGAGACTGCCCTCAAGGTATTAACCAGATGGTATTATACCCCGTCAAGACTACATGTATTGTACCCACAAACGTCCCCTTTATGTTTCCGGGGCTGTGGCCTCACAGGTACATTAGTTCTTATATTGGGCTTGCCCAACTATATCCTTGGTTTGGCGTAGGATATCGAAAGTAGCTGCTTCCTTGGTGGACGCCCCGGTACGTCTGGCTATACAGTCCTGTTTATTGGGAGCTCTTATCCCGGGGACCACTGATGCTGTTATGAGATTGATACATACCATTTGTATTGCCACTTTATGGGCTATTGCCCTGCATTGGAAATCCACCACGGTACCCTTGACCTCTGTTTTACATAGAGTTGATGCTGTGATGCTCACGGAGCGTATTCATTATACTTTGCTGGACAAGATGCACTTTGTAACGGAACCGGTACCCGACCGCACTTGGGTATATTCCGTTATACCGCAGCTTCCCCTGTCCGAACACCATCCACGGACCACACCCTTGAAATCCCTCAGGAAACAGACAGCACCCAGCTCTTCTTAATACAGGAAGCCAACTCTTTTTATTTTAACACAAAACAGAGGATATATACAGAGGGAGGGGAAACACAACCAAGAACAGGAAATACATCATCAGCCCGCCCCATCCCACCAAGACACAGAACAATGGGATGAAGCACATGGCAAAGGACATTGACCAACCCCCACACCTATACACAAACAGTACATCCCATAATAGTTGGCTGGACAGGAAGACACAGCACAATGGGGGGTAGCACATGGCAAACAGACAATGGACAGCCATGTGGCCGAGAACAAAGGAACACACACTATACACAAGACTCAGACATTCACATACACACCCTGTACCCTAACAGGCACAGGGTGGGTTAAACATAATGGGAATTTGGGAAGATGGTACGGAGGTCCCCCCACCCCCAAAAGTCACTCCCGTCACACACTTGTTTGATAAAAAATGGGAATTATGGAAGGTTCATACACATTCAATACATGACTAAAAAACATCCCGTTTGAAGGTTATTTGGCATATGCTATTGACAGATGTGTCTTTCGACCCACTTTATCGTCTACGTTATTCATGTACTTGAAATCTTTTCTCTTTCTTTTTCCTCCCTATCCATCTTTTTTACGTATATGTACTCTTCTGAAATGTACTTTTCAAATGTGCCTTGTTACCAATGTACGCATTACTTTTAACTGTACTGTTGTTTTAAAGTCTACCCTTGAACAATAAAACCGTTTGTAAACAAAAAAAAAAAAAGAATGACAGTTTTGAGAAAAAAAACAATATTTTTGACTTTTTGCTATAAAACATGTCCAGTAAAAAAATGTAAAAAATCTAATTTCGTCATAAATTTAGGCCAAAATGTGTTCTGTTCCGTGTCTTTGCTAAAATAAAAATCCCAATACGTGTTAATTAATTGGTTTACGTGAAAGTTATAGCGTTTATAAATGGCAGTATAGATACTGGAATTTTTTTTTTCTACTAGTAATGGAGGCGATCAGCGACTTAGGCCCCATGTACACGGGACACTTCTGAACGAAGGAAACTGACTGCTGGAAAACTTAGGTAAAAAAACGTCTGGCCGCCTTTGCATAACGCATTTATGCGAATTTATGTGCGTTTGCGTATAGAAGCGTTTTTTTAAAGATAAGCACAGGAGAACCTCCCAAATGCCCAGAATGCACTGAAAAGTGGTAAATTATTAACTATTTTTAGACTGTTTCAGAGAAATATAGAGAGTAGAAGCAGAGACAGCAGTATGCGTTGAGATTAGCTTAGGTGTGAGTTGCTCATTAACATTTCCTTTTGTTTCCAAGGGAGGGAAAGGTGTCTGGTGGAGGGAGTCATTAACCACTTCCAGTTTGGACACTTTCACCCCCCTTCCAGTCCGGACACTTTCACCCCCTTCCAGTCCGGACACTTTCACCCCCCTTCCAGTCCGGACACTTTCACCCCCTTCCAGTCCGGACACTTTTACCCCCTTCCAGTCCGGACACTTTCCCCCCCTTCCAGTCTGGACACTTTCACCCCCTTCCAGTCCGGACACTTTCACCCCCTTCCAGTCCGGACACGTTCCCCCCCTTCCAGTCCGGACACTTTCCCCCCCTTCCAGTCTGGACACTTTCACCCCCTTCCAGTCCGGACACTTTCCCCCCCTTCCAGTCTGGACACTTTCACCCCTTCCAGTCCGGACACTTTCCCCCCCTTCCAGTCCGGACACTTTCACCCCTTCCAGTCCGGACACTTTCACCCCCTTCCAGTCCGGACACTTTCCCCCCTTCCAGTCCGGACACTTTCACCCCCTTCCAGTCCGGACACTTTCCCCCCCTTCCAGTCCGGACACTTCCCCCCCCCCCCCTTCCAGTCCGGACACTTTCACCCCCTTCCTGTCCAGGGCAATTTTCAGCTTTCAGCGCTATCACACTTTGAATGACAATTGCGCGGTCATGCAACACTGCACCCATATGAATTTTTTAGCATTTTTTGGAGACAGATAAAACTTTATTTTGATGGTATTTATTCACCACTGGGATTTTTATTTTTTTGGCTATGTAAATGAAAAAGTCCAAAAATGTTGAAAAAAAGTGTTTTTCTTATAAAATTTTGCAAATAAATAATATTTCATCATAAATCTTGGCCAAAATGTATTCCGTTATCTTTTTAGTACAAAAAAAAATAACCCAAATTAGTTTATAACCAAAAATTCTAATTTTAAACATTTCTTTTTCATTTTTATTTTATTTTATTTTTTTTATATTATTATTTGGGTTTTTTTTTTTACATACTGTCACCCTAGCAGTACACTGTCACCATGGTGACACTGTACTACTTGTGGGGGGTGATGAAGATTTTTTTCTTTTACACTGATTGCTTTTATACCCATAAAGGCTGTAAAAGCAATCATTTTCTCCTTCTCTCTGGCTGCATTCTTGCAGCCATTGAGAACTACTGAGTGAGCTCTTATTGGTCGCAGCTTATCACAAGGCACAAGGCTGTTGTGAATAGCCCTGTACCATGTGATCTCTGTGATCATTAACAGATTTCACACGTAGTAAGCAATGATATCAGAAGTGACATCTTGCTTACTACTCTTCATGTGATCACCGATTGGCCAGTCAGTGATCACATGATCAGGACCTCGCACAGAGGTCCTGTCCGACGATCGGTGTTCCTCTGTGTCCGGAGGATCGCGGTGCTGTGCGCTCCCAGGGAGCGCGCGCACAAGCAGGGGGCGGGGAGGCCATTTATAAATGGCTACCTGACCCTGCACTGCCACCGTCTGGCCGTTTATATACAATGTCCGGAGGGGAGGTGGTTAAGGCCACCTGGCAGGGGGTCTTCATAAGGTATTTGAGGTGTGAATGGTCATTAACATATCTTTTGTTTCCAAGGGTGGGAGAGGGCTGAGGACCTTGAAAATGCTTTGCATGCATTTTTCATGATGAAAAAAGGCTCTGGACAGCATGGGGAACTGGAAGAGTTAAAAAAAAAATTTCAAACGCTTATGAACGCGATTAGCCGCATTTCGCGTTTGAAACGCTGATAAAATCGACGTCTGAACGCAAGTTTGTTGTGTTAAAAAAAACAACTGTAAACTCAACTGCCTGTAAACGACTGTAAACGACGATGTGTACACGGACACATAGGAGAACATTAGGGAGAGTTCAGGGGCTGCTGAAAAAAACGCAGAACAGCTCCTAAACGTCAGTTTATCAGCTGCAGTGTACATGAGCCCTTATAGCGGGACTGCGGCAGACATTCTGACACTGGGGGGAACTGACTAACTGCCACTGACATCCCCAGTGAGGATGATTTTCCTGACTGCCACTGACATCCCCAGTGAGGATGATTTTCCTAACTGCCACTGACATCCCCAGTAAGGATGATTTTCCTGACTGCCACTGACATCCCCAGTGAGGATGATTTTCCTGACTGCCATTGATATCCCTAGTGAGGATGATTTTCCTGACTGCCATTGACATCCCCAGTAAGGATGATTTTCCTGACTGCCATTGACATCCCCAGTGAGGATGATTTTCCTGACTGCCACTGACATCCCCAGTGAGGATGATTTTCCTGACTGCCACTGACATCCCCAGTGAGGATGATTTTCCTGACTGCCATTGACATCCCCAGTGAGGATGATTTTCCTGACTGCCATTGACATCCCCAGTGAGGATGATTTTCCTGACTGCCATTGACATCCCCAGTGAGGATGATTTTCCTGACTGCCAATGACATCCCCAGTGAGGATGATTTTCCTGGAGCCTACAGTGTTCTCTGGGTGTCCTTTGCCCTAGTTCCTAAAAAAAAAAAATCAATGACAATACTTTGGGAGCTGTCAGTGGTGCTGAAAACACAAATGTATTCATGTTTTACTGGTCATCAAAATACTTGGCCCACTTAATTATGATAAATTTAAATGAATAGACTTTTCACTTTGCCAATTCAGAACAAAAGGGACAGAGTCTCTTCCTAGCCCATCCCCTGACCCGCCTATACTCACCGTCACCATATTCCCCTATTGACATTCTTCCATTGGATCCAACTTGAGCTACAGGCCAGGCTGGACTGGTTCAAAGGGTTACTTATAGTTGTTGGGTGGTGTAACGGAACCGGACCCCGACTGCACTAGGGTATTTCTGTTAGACTCCAGCTTCCCTGTCCGAACACCATCCACGGACACCACCGCTGACCATACAGGACGAGACAGCACCAGGCTTCTTAAGACAGGAAATGAACTGCTTTATTTTAACACAAACACAAGATATATTCACAGGGCGGGGAAATACAACCAGGAACAGGAAACACATCAGCAGGCCGTCCCATCAGGGGGAAGGGCTGCCGGAAACAACCCCTCATCCCGACCATGGCGCCTCCTGCATGGAGTTTGTATGTTCTCCCTGTGCTTGCTTGGGTTTCCTCTGGGTACTCCGATTTCCTCCCACACTCCAAAGACATGCTGGTAGGTTAATTGGCTCCTGTCTAAATTGTCCTAGTGTCATCCCTGGCCATACGGGATCTCCTGCATGGTGGGGGTTGGGGAAAGACCTGGCAACCTACCCTGTAAAAATAATTGCTAAGAGAATTCATGGAAAAAGTTGCTTACGAGTGACGGTCCATGCAATCGGGCAAGGGTCAGATACGACTGAATGGATGAATAGATACAGAAGGCAGGGTAGGACTTATGAGGTGTCATCAGTAGCTGTGTACCGGGTGGGCTCCCCAGGATACAGTGAAGTCACGAACGAGGAAAGCAACCCCAACACCAGCTTTTGCCACAACAGAATATTACTTAGATGTGGCAAATAAACACAACCCCAAATGCTGGGAACATACAATAAATTTACATACACCCAGCCCAAATGCTGAGACCCTTGTGCTGCACAGCACGGCGCCTCCTGATGGATGAAGGTAGAAAGTTTAGTAATTTACCTACTGAGGGAGCACAACTAATCTGCCACACCTTACCTGTTATTACCCTACAGAGCAGGAATCAGTGTATGGGTGTATGGTATGGGCTAGCCTGCGGTGCAGCACAACAGCTTACAATCTTACACAAATCTACAGTATTCCCCCTCCCATAACTGGTCCTGTAGCACGTGCCTGAGTATTCCTTCTGAGCAAAACGCCAGTCTGGCTTGAGTTTGTAGAATTTTATCAGCTCTCCAATGTGAAATGTCACTTTAAGTTGTGGAGTCCTTCCAATAATCAGTAACAACGCTTGTGGCATGACACAAACATAGACCCTAACTAACTAACTATAGGCCTGGACTCAGTCTCAAGGCGCCAACACTGAAATGAGGTGCGTGCACGATCTTACCGACCCGGGTCTGCTTTGCATCCGCTGGTGACTCTGAACAGAACAAATGTCTCTCCAACAAGCATGCAGTCTTCCCTTATATGTTTCTTAGTTCCTCTGCTCTCATCAGCCTTCCTGGCAGCAACCTCATCAGCATTCCTGGCAGCAATCTCATCAGCTTCCTGGCAGCAATCTCTTCAGCTTCATTCAGCTGCAGCTTTGATTACTGAGGGACGCATTCACACCTGGATGTCATCGGATTCTCAGCTCACACGGCCCCTTCATTCAGCATCGTCCAAAACATGGCTGCAGTCTCCTCTTCCCGTTCACTAAAACTCCAACTCTGAGTGCAAAACCCCACCTCTTCATGAATATACAAATATCTATGCAGTCTGAGCCTGTGTTAGAAAAACAGTGACATCTTGTGGCTAAACCGCAGAATGTCAGTCAAAACATTAATTTACTTCCACACAAACAGTGTTCAAACAATGAGAGCTGTTTCCCCATCTCACAGCAGAGCAAGGGTCATGCACGACTCAGGCTGGAGGGGTAGGGAACAAGTCCGGAATGGAGGAAAGTACACAGGAGCAGGCTTGAGCAGTTGAGAGAAGGATCAGGAATAGAGTAACTGGTCAGGAGGAGCACAGAACAAGGGGCATGCAGGCAGCCTGTCAACTGCTCAAACCTGCTCCTGTGTACCCTCTTCCATTCCTGACTTGTTCCCTATCCCTCCAGCCTGAGTCATGCATGACCCTGGCCCTACTACTGATGACTGATAGATATACACTGTATTCAATTTAACCATTTCAATACCGGGCAATTTACCCCCTTCCTGCCCAGGCCAGTTTTCAGGTTTCAGCGCTCTCACACTTGAATGACAATTGCGCGGTCATACAACAATGTACCCAAACTAAAATTTTATCATTTTCTTCACACAACTAGAGCTTTCTTTTGGTGGTATTTAATCATCGCTGGGGTTTTTATTTATTGCTAAATTAACAAAAAAAAAGACCAAAAATTTTGAAAAAAAAAAACACGTTTTTCTTTGTTTCTGTTATAAAAGTTTACAAATAAATAATTGTTCTTCATAAATTTAGGCCGAGATGTATTCTGCTACATGTCTTTGGTGAAAATAACCCAAATTAGGATTTATTTTTTAGTTTGTAGGAACGTTATAGAGTTCACAAACTATGGGATAGATCTGAAAATTGATCAATCCTGAAGTACTGACAGCCAATCTAATTTCTTGAGGTCCAAGAATGTCAGGACAGTACAGATATCCCCCAGATGTCAGGACAGTACAGATATCCCCCAAATGTCAGGACGATACAGATATCCCCCAAATGTCAGGACAGTACAGATATCCCCCAAATGTCAGAACAGTACAGATATCCCCCAAATGTCAGGACAGTACAGATATCCCCCAAATGTCAGAATAGTACAGATATCCCCCAAATGTCAGAACAGTACAGATATCCCCCATATGTCAGAAC